GTACAGGCCGATGAGCTCGCCCAGCGTCTGGAAGCGGCGCACGGGCACGCCCGGCGAGGTCTGCAGCCAGCAAGGGTGGGAGAAGGGTCAGCCGGCTGGTCGCAGGCCACAGGCTGGAATCAAGGACAGGGGGTCAGGGTCCAAACCCCTACCTGCACGGCCAGGAAGTCTTCTCCATCAGGCAGAATTCGGTACGTGTGCACATGCTTCTGATACCTGACAGAAGGTGGAGGTCAGAATCTGTCGCTCCCAGGCTACAGTCTAAGCCCCAAGGTGCCCTCTCCTCCTGCCACTGGACTCAACGCCAGCCCTTTCAGCCTTCCTATAGGCTTCCCTATAGCCATTCGCCCAAGCTGTACAGGGTTAATGATGGGGGCAGTCCACGTCTGTCCTGCTAGTGTCACCAACAAGCAGGAACCGCCCCCCCAGACCCACATAGTCTCCACACCCACCGCAGGGCCCGGGAAGAAACAGACAGCTCTTTTGTGGCCTCCACAGCTGTCTAAACAGCCCCTCTGGGCTGTGGTACCAGTCTGGGCCCCCCGCCAGATTAAGAGTCCTCAGGAGCCTGGGTAACCGCTGTTTGCATGCATGGGCAATGTGCTAACACACACATGCCTGCTGTCTATGTTTACGTTGGTATCTAGCTCTGCTGAAGCTGGGTGTGTCTGGGGCAGTTTTGCTGGCAAGTGCAGGGGTATCATCCTGGGGGTTTCTATTCACTTTCCCAGACACCAGGAAATTGGGATGACCTAAGGGGACCCCCTCTACCCCATGGTAGGCCCAGGCCACTAGGAGGCCCAAACTGAGAAGGGATGATAGGGGTGCTGACAGATGACACCAACAGCTGAGCAGGTGACAGCTGAGCCAGGCCTGGGTGGCGAAGGCCACACTCAGTGGGGCTGGAAGACTCCCTACCTCAGAGCAGTCTTGCCCAAGGGAGTCACCCAGACTGTGTCTTAGGCAGGATGGGGTGTTGGCTCCAGAGAGGACCAAATGCCTACATGAGAAGACCCTTTACCCTGGCCACAGGGCCATTCCCTTCCCTCAAGTGGGCCTCCTTTGGCTGTCAACCAGACACAAGCCATGCTGGTGTCTGTATGTGACAGGGCGTGTTGGCTTCTGTTTATAACAATAATAACATCCCATGAACTGAGTCCTGTCTCTGTGACAGGGCAGGTACTTAGCACAGACATGATCTCATTAATCTTCACCTTTTGAGGCAGATATTATTGTATTATTATCATCATCTCCATTCTCTAGAAGAGGAAACTGAGACTCACAAAGCAAGTAAAAGGCAGATCTAACTAAAAGTCCTTAGATCCTGGCCTGCTGATCGGATCGCCTGTGCCTGCGGAGGCAGGGATGTGTCCTGAGTGTTACCTGGACACATGTGGGTGTGTACACAGGTAAGCAAGTATGTTTCTGATGGCCCACCCCCAGACTCCTGAAATGCAAGGAGTAGCCAGAGTCGGCTGGCAAAGCTGAAGCACCTCCCCACAGACCTTCACCCCACCCATCTCCTCTCCCGGCAACAGAGCCAGGATTCTCCCCTCCTGGGACAATAACTTCCTCACCCAGACGGGCCCAGCTGTCCTCCTCTCACTCAACAGCTGACCCAACACCTGCCTCTCTCCCCTCCCTATTGAGGGGGGCTGGGAGGCTCAGGGATATTCATCTGCTTGGGCGGCTGCTCTTTAGTCTTCCAGGCTGAGCCTCAGACTTGGGGCAGAAGCTGAGACTTAGAGCACCCCTCCTCTTCAGGCCCCCTGCCTGCCTCGGGGGGTCTCTCAGCCTCAGCACTCCTGAAGTTTGGACTGCACAACTCTTTGTTGTGAGGGGCTGCCCTGTGCTTGTAGGATGCTTAGTAGCATCCCTAGCTTCTACCCACTAGATGCCAGTAGCACCGTTCCAGTTGTGACAACCAAAAAGTGTCTCTAGACATTGTCAAATGTCCCCTGAGGATCAAGTCAACCCCATGGAGAACCGCTAGCCTAGGCCAATGCATCCGCCCCACTCCTCCCCACAGGATGTGAAGAGAACAGAGAGGGAGGGGAAGAGGGATGGAGGTTTGGGAGAGCTCGTGGGGCCAAGGGGAAACATAACCAGATGTAAACAGCAGCCGGGTGGCTGCCCACTCCCCACTCCCACTCCTGAGCCCCTAGGAGCCTACCCAGTGCCACAATGAGTGGTGTGGAGGACAGCTCAGGGAGAAGACTCCAAAAACCGAAAGTACAAATTCACCCCAACACCACAGCCGCCTACGGCTAATGGGTACAGCCACAGGCCCACCCAGAGAGGTGCCACGTCCAGCCCCACACTCAGCACCCATAGTTCAAGGCTAGGGCAGCCGGGAGCCAGAGCACATACTCACTCATTGATTCATGAAATAATGGCATGGCCTCACACAGCCTCACCCTCTTCTGGACACCACCCTGCCCCCTAGCCTCAACCATACACAGCCAGGCAGGCCCCAGCCTCAGTCTGGGGGGCACAGTAAAGTCCCCTAAGGGAGCTGCTGACCATCCTCACACACCCCCATCAGTCCCTCTGGTCCCAAACCCAACTACGCCTTTGCCTACCCCTCAAACACCCAATCTCTGTAAGCAGCACTGCACACAGCCGTGCAATGCACATCCTCACTCCTCCAGCTCCTCTATCTGGAGGGTGCCTGAGGGCTCTGACAGAGACCCCCCCCCACTCCCACCCCCACCCCGCCCCCCAGCCACCCTGGCAGCGGGACGGCTTATATACTCTGCTTCATCGTCCCCAGAAAGTGCCCCCAGACGCACAGCAGGAAGGAAGTGCTCCCGGTATCCTTTCCTCGGCCTCAGCAGAAAGCCAAGGCCCCACTCTGCGGGGCGCTGGCGTCCACTGTCCCAAGCCTTCCGCACACACTCCAGGAACCCCAGGCCGGGCCCCCGCCCGCCGGCAGCCCCAGCGCCACTCACAGGACGCAGAGCGCGAAGGCGCCCGCCACACTCTCGCTGTCTCGGACCAGGAAGCTGCCATCGCGGCCTGCCCGGGCCAGCAGTTCCTCGGCGGCGGCGCGACTCAGGTCTCGGTGGTACCAGGCAGGGGCCGGGCTGCCCAGCGCGCCCCCCGGCCCGCCGCCTCCGGGGCCCAGCGCGCCGCCCGCCGAGGCCATGGCCCGCGCCGGGCTCAGCGCCGCCCGCGCCCGCCGCCCCGCGCCATGGCCTGGGCGCGCAAGGGGCTGGGGCCGGGCCCCGAGGATCCGAGGGCCGCCGGGTCGGGGATCCGGGCGCCGCGCTCCGCCGCGCAGGCCGCCTGGTTGGCCGTGCAGCCGCCGCCGCCGCCTGCAGCGCCGGCCTCAACTTGAAGAGAAAGAAAAGTTTGTTCAGAGGCGGCGGCGGGAGGGGCGGGACCCGAGCGCAGGGCGGGCGGCCGCCCCTCCCCCGCCCCCGCCGCGGGGGCCCCCGCCCCCGCATCCCCCGCAGGACCCGGGACTTCCCGAACCCCACCGTGGTCTGCCCCGCCATCGCCACCCCGAGCCCCAGCCGAGCCCCTAAGGGAACCCCAAGTCCTTCCAAGCTGCGCCTCGACAGTTTGGCACCCCAGTCCCCTCCCCTGAGGGGTCCCCTTTAATAATCGCCAGATCCCCAGATCCCGCAGATGTCTGATTCTGCCCCAGATCCTTTCCATCCCGCCCCCCCCCCCCCACCAATAACCTTGCAGAGTCGAGTTCCCCAAACCCGTGGACCCCCACGATGAACTTCCTTCCAGCCCTCTCTCCATCATCCGAGCGGCCCCAACCCCCAACTCCCGTGTAATCCAACCCCTTCCTTAGACATGAACCCCTAAACTACACTGAGTCCAGCTCCCTACACATTCCGCGAGGGAGGGAATCCCCCCTCCACAGAGATCCGATCCCCTACAACCCCCCCCCCCCCCCCGATGAGGTTCCGTGTCCTCGAAACTCCACGCACGGTCCCCGGCAGCCCCTCTCCGCCCGGGGCAGAGCCCTTCCCCCCTCTTGGCCAAGTTCCCTGGCACCATCCACCATCCCCGCAGGCCCTGGCCCCGAGGGGCTCAGCAGCCGGAGCCCAGGCCTCCCTCTGCCCCCGTCGAGGAGGAGGAAGTTCCCTCAAGTCCGTGGGGGGCCCCGATCTCTTCCCCCAGAGCCGCGGCCCGCCGCGCGCAGACCCCCACCTCCTGGGCGGCTCCGAGGCGCCCTTCCCGGGGGAAGCGGCCCTGGCCTCTCCGCGGCCACTTAAGATGGCCAGCCGCCGCGCAACCCCTCCGCCTTCCGCCCCGCCCGCCGCCCGCCTTCCGCCCCCGGCAGCTCCGCGCCCCGCCCCCCGCCCCGCGTCTGCATCCCAGAGCAGCCGAGCCGCCTGGGACCTCGGGCGAGTCCCGGCCCCGCGCCGGGCCGAGCCTTCCCGCCCTGTGGAGTGGGGCTAGGGTTAGGAGGGCGGCGGGCTCCATGGGGCTGTGCTCGGAAAGGTCCGGGCGCGGGGCCCGGCCCCGGGAGGCGCTCGGGACGGCGGCCGTGTGTGTGATTAAGGGAGGAGAGCCGAGGCTGACAGCTGTGTGCAAACTGCAGGAGCGCGGCGGCCGCCGGGCGGCTATTCTTAGCCCCCGCCCCCGCCCCGCCGCTCGCGCCAAGTCCACAAACTTGAGCCTTGGTAGGCGAGACCCCGAATGGGGAGCTCCCCACACTAGAGCCGGTCTGATCCGACACCCCCTCCCGCCTCGGGAGGGACGAGGCACCTGGAGGTCGGCGGAGGGGCGGGGCCGGAGCGGGGCCGCCCTTCCCATCCCAAAAAAAGACCTAGCCGGTGGCGCCGCCGGGAGCCGCTTCCTGCCCCGCCCCTCCGCCCCCTGCCTGGCTCCTTAAAGGCGCAGGCCTGCTGCCCGCTCCCCCTGCTGCCTACGCCTGGACGGCGGTCACCGCTGCCCCTTTAACCCGGGAGACAACGTTCATTTTGCTGAACCAGCGTCTGCGTCCGTCCCGACCAACTCCTTACTCAGTTTCAAAGACGCGCGGACTTAATCCAGCTAGGGTACAACGACTGACGTGTATTTGGAGAGCCAATTTTTTTTTTTTTAAACTTAAACTTCTAACAACGCCACTTCTTCAAAATAGACTCGCCCAGGCCGTGGTATTTTTGTGGAAGAGCCACACTCTCAAGGGGCCAAAGAGCCGCAGTTTGCCGACCACGGAGCTGCTAGAGCAAAGCCTAGCAGACGTGAAGGGGGGCTCTGTGGGACGTTCCCAACTTGATAAAATGGAGTAACTGAGAGACCCTCCCACGAATCCAACAGTGTCGCCAGGCCCCTACAGGAACCCAGTAACTTTTCCCGCCAACCTGTGCCGGACTTCTCTCCTCAGTCAGTCACCTCTCAGTATGAGGGCAGGTGAGTCTGCCAGGAGGGGGCAGCCAGGGGCGGCAGGGAGAGACCTGGACTAGGAGCATTCAGGCCTCATTCTAGTTCTATTTTGATCACCCACCTGCCTGGTGTTGTCAGACAGGCATTGGTGCCTCTCTGGGGATAACTGCAGTCTGAGTATGGAGACCCAGGAGGAAGGGGGAAGTGAGAGCCCCAGAAATCAACCAAGGCCCAGTTTCTGGGGACGGTGCAAAGACAGAACCACCACCCAGGGTAGGCATTTTTACCATTGCCAGACGGGGACAAAGGTAAGAGTTCCCATTCCTCTTCCACTCATACTTCCAGCACATAGCCTGACTGTTTACTCCCCAGGAACCGCCCAGATTGCCTTCCTCCTACACTCTCTTTCCACTGTGAGGGTCCCAAGCCCCAACTCTCTTCAGTCCACATCAACTGTGAATTTTTTTTCACCTCTGGACCCCCAATCCCTAGCTTTCTCATTGCAGACCTGAGCACAGAGACAGACAAGGCCTGAGTGAAAGGGGATAGTTATAGACAAATATAAATAATGAAGTCCTGGACCTGACTCTTACTTGGGGCTACAAGAGCAACGGGAACCCTGAGAACTATTAATGTGCAGACACTGGGCTCACATTCTTCCTAGGCAGCAGCTCCTTTATATTTCACAGCCCTGAGGGAAGGAAGGATTATATATATTTTCCCCATTTTAATGAGGAAAAAGATTGAGAGCAGTCAAGCAACTGTTTCCTTTCACAGAGTGAGTAGCTGAGCTTATGTTGGAACCCAGTTTTTATTTCTCTAATCTGAAGGAATCCAAACACCGCCCTAGCTGGTTTGGCTCAGTGGATAGAGCATTGGCCTGTGGACAGAAAGGTCCCAGGTTCAATTCCAGTTAAGGGCACATCCCGGGTTGCCAGCTCAGTCCCCAGTATGGGGTGTGCAGGAGGCAACCAATTAATGATTCTATTAATATTTCTTTCTCTACCTCTCCCTTCCTCTCTGAAGTCTCTCTCTATATATTAAAAGACAAATATACAAATCAAACGAATGCAGAACAACTGGTCACTATGATGCACACTGTCCACCAGGGGGCAGACTCTCAATGCAGGAGCAGCCCCCTGGTGGTCAGTGTGCTCCTACAGGGTAAGTGCTGTTCAGCCAGAAGCCCTGAGCCTGGTGGAAGGCTGGGGAATGCAGTGGCAGCCTCTCCCACAGCCTCCACAGCAGTCAGTCATGCCCTGAGGACTCCCAGACTGCTAGAGGGCACAGGTGCACCAGCCGGTCTGAAAGACCCCCACCCCCACCCCAGTGCACAAATTTTGTACACCAGGCCTCTAGTATGTGTGTGTATGAAAGAATCCAAAAACTATGGAATCTCTCCACTATGCATCCACAAAGTCACAACAAAAATAATTTATCAGACACAAATATGTCTATTTATTAGAACTGGCTACCAGAGGAAACCCAAGCCCCACATAAGGAACTGATTGACAGAGGGATGGGTAATGCATGGAGGCAAGCTTAGGGCTTCATTTGTGGACCTGTGCTGAGGTGTGAGCCAAAACTGAGCCTGGGCCCAGAAGCTGGGGACAGACAGAGGGGACTCAGTCAAGGAGCCAGAGTTGCAGCATCAGAGCCAGGCTGAGCAGGAGAGGCCCAATCCCATGGAGCATGGCCCTAGAAGTCATGGCCAAGGCATAGAACCTCGCCACCTCTTCATTGGGGTTGCCCTGGGCCGGCTCAAACCACATCTGGATGCAGCGGCCACTCCCTCGGCTGTACTGGCTGACCTGGTAGGAGTGACTCCAGAGGCCCTCACACAGGGCTGCAGGAGTGGGGAAGTAGGACTCGAATGTGCGGCAGACGGCCCCAGCTGGACACTTGTTAGATCCTGCAGGGGGAAAGAGGACAGACACAGACATCAGCCCTGCTTACCTGAGAGAGATTCAGGCAGTGCCAGATCCTCAAACCCCCTTTGCCCAAACCCCACCGCCATCTCCCCACCCACCCACCCCCCACCAGCCCTCACCTGAGGTCCAGTTCCAGCCCTTGTGCCAGTCACTCTTGCAAGTGTAGGAGGTACGGCAGGCTTCCCACCAGCTCTCGCAGTCCTGTTTGCACAGGGGCACGTTCAGGAAACGCTCTCTGCGCCAGCTCTGATTCACCTGAGCGGAGGTAAAAATGAAAAGGTTCCTCAGCCAGGCCTGTTGGCAGCCACAGCTTTGACTGGGGTGGGGAGTGGTGAGGGAGACCCAGTACCTCCTGGATCCAGGGCCCCAGGTTGGGGGAGCATTCATAGAGACAGGTGTCCTGGATGAAGTGGCGCTTGCAGGCGGGCTCCATCTTGCCACAGTGGTCCCAGTTGAAGTTGTACAGGAGGGAGGTGTCCTTGTGCAGCTCCTGGCTGGTGCTGGCAGAGCAGCAGGCATTCTTCCTCCATGGAGTGCACTGGGCGGAGAGGACACAGCACTCAGAACCCCCTGCCACCTCCAGCCTCTCCCCATTTGGTCTTTGCTCTCCAGCCCCAGGTAGATTGTTCTAGAAACGCTCACTGTGAGGACCTCTCTGTCCTTGGCCTTCAGGAACTCCCATCTTGAGGGACACTCCAGTGCAACAGTGTGATTAGGGAGTTGTGGGATCCTGGGAGAAACCCAATCTTGGGAGGACAAAAAACTATCATTTATACAGGCCTTAACACTTTATAAAAAGTTCTTAAATTTATCCATTAAATTTGTATTACTGAGTAGCTACTCTGTGCCAGCCACTGTTGTAGACTGAGGATAGCGGACAAGAAAACAGACAGAAATATGTGTTCATGGATCTTACATTCTGATCAGGGGAGCCACACAGTAAGACACTAAAAGGGAAAAAATGTGATATGGAAGGTTATGATCAATTATATAGGGACGTTCACAGCAGGGAATGAGTATGTGAAGAATGGGTGATAGTTGGAATTTAAAATAAGGTGGTTTGAAAAGCCTCATTGCTAGGTGACAATTTCAGTAAAGAAGGAAAGAACCCTGATCAGGTAACTAAATTAGTTAGAGCATCACCCTGATATGCCAAGGTTGTGGGTTTGAACCCAGTCAGGGCACATATAAGAATCAACTAATGAATGCATATATAAGTGAAAAAAACAGATGTTGCTTTTTCACTTCCGGTGTCTCTTCTTTCTCTCTCTAACATCAATAAATTTTTTAAAGGGGGGAGGGGAGAAAGTAAGCAATACAGTAATCTATTGTTGAATAACCATATTCTTGGCAAGTATTAAGACCTGTGTCACCTCCGAGGATAGGACGGTATCTGACACACAGAAACATTTGCTTAACAAAATAAGTGAGAAACATATTTATAACTTCCTCATCTAAACTGTATTACATCTTCCACATGAAAACATCTTAGTTTACCTGGTTTTCCAGGACAACACAAACCATTAAACGGAAGGTTGTACTATATGCTTTGTATTACTGAACTTTATCACTTGTAGAAAAAATTGTCTCCTCAATGGCAACACTGCTAGGGTATCAGACAGCATTTAAGTTGCTAATAGAGTACACTGGTATAAATCTTCATTTGAAGCTGCCCCATGCATGTGCTGTTTCACAAGCACTTCTAATGTAGCCATAGCAGAGAATTGACATATGAAATATAATTTGTTTGTTTGTTTGTTTTTAACATATTTTATTGATTTTTTACAGAGAGGAAAAGAGAGAGAGAGAGTCAGAAACATCGATGAGAGAGAATCATCAATCAGCTGCCTCCTGCACACCCCCTACTGGGGATGTGCCCGCAACCAAGGTACATGCCCCTGACCGGAATCGAACCTGGAACCCTTCAGTCCGCAGGCCGACACTCTATCCACTGAGCCAAACCGGTCTCGGCTGTTTGGTTAGTTTTTTATAAATTGCTTCCTTTTTGCTTCTCTTTTGCATTTTAGGTAATTATGATGACATTTTTTAATTAATAGATTCTAGTAGCTTTGAACTTCACTCCAGGATAGACAAGAGAGGTAAAACAATATTTTTCCTAAAAAGGAAGTATGGAAGCTAAAAGGGTTACAACCAAGTGGCATAATTTTTGATATAATGTGTGAGAGTACTGCACCTCTGCCTCGCGTCGCAGTCAGAAGAGGCTTCTCCTTTGCCCCTGGCACTCCGTGGAACAGGCACGTGGTCAAAGTAGGAAAACCACCCTCCCCCAAACCCCTGGAGGTGTCCGCCCCAGTCCTACCCCACCACGAGGGCTAGTCATGTCCAGGTCCTGTGTGTGTCCGCAGGCTCCTCTGGGCCTCAGTTTCCTCACTTGTGTCATGGGGAAAATGTCACCTGCCTCCCTCAGAGGACCTCCGGAAAAATGAGGTCATGGACAGAAAGCACATGACACCTGGTAGGTAGGTCCTCAGTAAGTGATCATTGCATGTGATTGCTGACATGGTCTCCTGTTCTGAGGAGGCCGCCCCAGAATCAGCTAAACCGCTCCCGACCTTTACCTTCTCAGCAATGATCAGAACCTGGGCTGTCGGGCCCCTCCCCTCTTCCCGCACCACCCTAAGGTCCTCTTCCCTGTCACAACCAGTGCCCTCCCCAACCGCAGCCACACTGCAGCCACACCTGGCCATGCAGCTTGTCCTCAGGGCCTGGCTTTGTCTTGTGGTGTTTGGCATCCATGCAGACGTTGAGCAGGTCTGTCCTGTCTCTGGCGCTGCACACGGAGGCTGACAGCCAGGCCAGCAGCAGCAGAGGAGACATCCGTTTCCAGGCCATGACTTTCTGTCCCTGCAGAGGAAGCTGTGGTGAGGGAGAGCGAGGCCTGAGGGGAGAGAGCCCCTGCCAGGTGCTCCCTTCACCCCCTCCTCAGTCTCCCCATCTCCACAGTGAAGGCTGGGGCCAGAGCCTGTTCCTTCAGTGCTGGGTCCTGGGGCTGCCTGAGACTGAGATAGATGAGGCTGGCAAAGGGGGCTCCCTCGCCTCATTCTTGGAGGGTTCAGAAGGGGATCTGGGGTTAGTAAGGAGACTCAGGGACAGTACCCAACTTGGAGAATAATGCTTGCACCCACATGTTCTCTCTGGATTTTACCTTTAAAAAAGTACTTAAATGGCCGAAACCGGTTTGGCTCAGTGGATAGAGCGTCAGCCTGTGGACTGAAAGGTCCTGGGTTCGATTCCGGTCAATGGCATGTACCTTGGTTGTGGGCACATCCCCAGTGGGGGGGGGGTGTGTGTGTGTGTAAGAGGCAGCTGGTCGATGTTTCTCTCTCATTGACATTTCTAACTCTCTATCCCTCTCAATTCCTCTCTGTGTAAAATCAATAATATATATATATATATATATATATATATATATATATATATATATATATTAAAGCTGTGAAAAAAATAAAAAATAAATAAATAAGTACTTAAATGGTTGTGTCCATACTTCCTAAAAAGAACCAGGAACCCACAGCACCTTATGCTGTGTTCAGCAAGTGCCCTGCCATTAGACCCTGGATCACCTGGGTTCCCATGGCAGCTTAGGAACCCCGTTTGCCTGGCGAAGGCAGTGGCCCAGTTCTGCTGAGTTCTCCACATCAGCCTGAGACTCAAGGGATGTAAACAGGACTGTGTTTGGTTTAATGATACAGAAATGGGAATGGTGTTTTTTTATATTTAAAAAAAGAAAGGTTTTAGAGAAAACAAAGATGGTGGCATAAGTATACACCTACACTGCGGCCTCTCACAACAATTTCAAAACTGCAACTGGAAGACAGAGCGGACATCGTCCAGAACTACCATAAAGCTGGCTGAGTGGAAATTCTACAACTGGAAGGAAAGAGAAAAGGACACTGAGACCCAGAGTTGCTGTGGAGGACAGAGGTGCAGAGACCTGCATGTGTGGAAAGGGCAGGCTGCTGAGTACACAGCTGGCTTACGTGTGGCACTCAGACAGGGCAGACAACAAGGGTGCGGCTAGCTGTCTCATTTGGGAGGGAAACAAAACCTCCCAACTGCACTGAAATCCAGTTCTGGGTGAGACTTTTTTTTTTTTTTTTTTTAATATATATTTTATTGATTTTTTTATAGAGAGGAAGAGAGAGAGATAGAGAGTTAGAAACATCGATGAGAGAGAGTCATCGATCAGCTGCTTCTTGCACCGCCCCTACTGGGGATGTGTCCGCAACCAAGGTACATGCCCTTGACCAGAATCGAACCTGGGACCTTTCAGTCCCCAGGCCGACGCTCTATCCACTGAGCCAAACCGGTCTCAGCTGGGTGAGACTTTTGGGTACCCAGACTCATTCAGGGAGAAACTGAGCTATCTGGCAGCAGGCAAAACTCAAGCTCAGCCTTCTCTCAGAGGTGCGTGCAGCCATTGCCTTGGGACACTGAGACACGGGCCTCACAGGGCATAGCTGACGGGAAACCAGGGCTGTCTGCTCCACCCTGAGACTCCGCCCTATCCAAGCTGAGCACAGAAGCTCTCCCAGCAGAGACATAGCTGATCCTCACAGTCAATTGGCCTGGGTCAACTCCCCACAGTGACACTAACAATAATCTACGCTTAACTACAAGACTGCACACACAGCCCACAAAGGGGCACATCAAGAGTGTCCACCTCAGGTAATGGGACGCTGAGCCCTGCTAGGCCCTGCTATGACACCTAGCACACAAAGCCACTCCATCAACTCAGGGAAGCAGGCAAAATGCAGAGACAAAGAAACATCACAAATGAAGGAAATGGAGGAAAGTAAACGACTGGATATAGAGTTTAAAACCTCGGTTATAAGGTTTTTCAAGAATTTCCTAGAAAAGGCCAATAAAATTTTTTAAAATATATATTTTATTGATATTTTACAGAGAGGAAGGGAGAGGGATAGAGAGTTAGAAACATTGATGAGAGAGAAACATTGATCAGCTACCTCCTGCACACTCCCCACTAGAGATGTGCCCGCAACCAAGGTACATGCCCTTGACTGGAATCAAATCTGGAACCCCTGAGTCTGCAGGCCAATGCTCTATCCACTGAGCCAAACCAGTTTCAGCGAGGCCGATAAATTTAATGAGACCCTCAAGGATATGAAAAAGGATCAACTAGAAATTAAGCATACACTGATTGAAATAAAAAATATTATAGCTGAAACTGGTTTTCTCAGTGAATAGAGCATCAGTCTGCGGACTGAAAGGTCCCAGGTTCAATTCCGATCAAGGGCATATAATTTGGTTGCGGGCACATCCCTGGTAGGGGATGTTTCTCTCTCATCGATGTTTCTAGTTCTCTATCCCTCTCCCTTTCTCTCTGTGAAAAATCAATAAAATATATTTTAAAAATAAAATATATATTATAAAGAGATATAAAAAACAGACTAGAGGATTGAAAGAACCAAATCAAAGATTTGGAATACAAAGAAGCAAAAAGACTCAACCAGAAAAGCAAAAAGAAAAAGGAATCCAAAAAGTTGAAGATAGTGTAAGAAGCTCTGGGACAACTTCAGCGTACCAACATCAGAATTATGGGGATGCCAGAAGAAGAGAGAGAGCAAGATACTGAAAACATATTTGAAGAAATAGTGACAGAAAACTTCCCCCATCTGGTGAAAGAAATAGACTTACAAGTCCAGGAAGCACACAGAACTCCAAACAAAAGGAACCAAAGAAACCACAACAAGACATGTCATAATTAAAATGCCAAGAGCACGCTGAGACCGGTTTGGCTCAATGGATAGAGCGTCGGCTTGGGGACTGAGGGGTCCCGGGTTCGATTCCGGTCAAGGGCATGTACCTTGGTTGCGGGCACATCCCCACTATGGGGTGTGCAAGAGGCAGCCGGTCGATGACTCTCTCTCTCATCGATGATTCTAGCTCTCTATCTCTCTCCCTTCCTCTCTGTACAAAATCAATAAAATATATTTAAAAAAAAATGCCAAGAGCAAAAGACAAAGAGAGAATATTAAAAGCAGCAAGTGGACATGTGCCCTAACCAGAATCATTCAACCCCCTCTTGGTGCATGGGATCATGGGATGATGCCCAACCAACTGAGCCACACCAGCCAGGGCAAGAGTGGTGGCTTTCAAACAGTTAATTACCTACAAGGGAGCACCCATACTATTGTCAGCTGATTTCTCAACAGAAACTATGCAGGCCAGATAGGAATGGCAAGAAATATTCAAAGTGACGAATAGCAAGAAACTACAACCAAGATTACTCTACCCAGCAAAGATATCATTCAGAATTGAAGGTCAAATAAAGTGCTTCACATATAAGAAAAAGCTAAAGGAGTTCATCACTGCCAAACCAGAATTATATGAAATGCTGAAAGGTATTCTTTAAGAAGAAGAAGAAGAAGAAGAAGAAGAAGAAGAAGAAGAAGAAGAAGGAGGAGGAGGAGGAGGAGAAGAAGAAGAAGAAGAAAAGGTAAAGATAAAAATTATGAACAACAAATACATATCTATCAACAAGTGAATCTAAAAACCAAGGGAATAAAAAAAATTAATGAACAGTATTAACTGGTGAATATAATAGAATCAGTAGCATAGAAAGGGAGTGGACTGACAGTTCTTGGGGGAAAAGGGCAGTGGGGGGTGCGGGAAGAGACTGGACAAAAAGCGTATACCTATGGATGAGGACAGTAGGGGGGAGGTAAGGGCAGGGGGTGGGTTAGGAACCTGGTGGAAGGGAGCTATGGAAGGAAAAAAGGAACAATTGTAATAAACTGAACAATAAAGACTTATTAAATTAAAAAAATATATAGGACCTTCTGCTGGGAAAAAAAAAAACATTTTGTTCTGACTGGTTTGGCTCAGTGGATGGAGCATTGGCCTGTGGCTGTAGGGTCCCAGGTTTGATGCAGGTCAGAGGCATGTGCCTTGATTGCAGGAACATCTCCGGTAGAGGGTGTGCAGGAGGCTGCTGGTGGATGTTTCTCTCTCATCAATGTTTCTAACTCTATCCCTCTCCCTTCCTCTCTGTAAAAAAACAAAAAATCAATAAAATATATGTTTAAAAAAAAAGTTTTTATTGATCGTTAGAAAGAGGAAGGGTTGGGGAGAGAGAGAAACATCAATCTGCTGCCTCCTGCACAATCCCTACTGGGGATCCATCCCACAACCCGGGCATGTGCCCTGACCAGAATCATTCAACCCCCTCTTGGTGCATGGGATGATGCCCAACCACTGAGCCACACCAGCCAGGGCAAGAGTGGTGGCTTTCAAACAGATTTGCTCCCTCAGACTTCTTCCTTCCCTATTTCCTGAAAGCCTTTCCTCCCTCCACCCCACTGTGACTCTGGCCCCTCAGCTCTCTCATGCCCCAGATCGCCACCTGACTCCTCAGAAAACAAATGCAGAGACCCTTGGACTGACCAGAGGACAACAGAAAGTCTCCCGTGTTAGAGGAGCCTGCCCGACAGGCACTGAGGGGCACGGGCGGCGCCTGGAAAAAGTGACAGCCCCTGTCTGTCCATGACTGCCTGTCACCCCACCCACCCCCTCCCTTTACAGATCCGTTTCCTTGGGCTTAGTCGCTGAAGCACTAAGAGTTGATAATGAAGACCCATTCCTCTCCCTCACCATTCCCTCATGCAGTTGATCAACAAGCCTCGGCAAGCATCCCTCCAAAACCTTTGCAGAATTCCCTTCCCCTGGCTCTGTTTGGGGTCAGTTCTCTCCTCCAATTTCTTCCCCTTCAAGTCATCTTTCCACAGGAGCCAGGGGGATCTTTCTAAAGACATGCCCTTCCCCTACCCACAGACCCACCAAGTCCCCCAGTGCCTCTGTCACCCTTCCCTTCTGAGGGCATCTTGCCTGAGCCTCGTTTGCTGCTGGGAGCACACACTGCTGTGTCTGGACTGACCTCTCTCAGGGCTGGCCACAGCTCCAGAACCCTCGATTCCCCAGTGGTCTCTGTCCTCAGGGCAGGATGACTGCAAGAGCTCTGAATGTGCTTATGCAGAAAGTACCCTGAGGTTAACAATGTCTACGTCTACTTCCTTTCCAGACCTCACTGCATTCCAAGTCCTTAGTCTGTCAAGTTAGCCAATTTTATGTGATTTCAGCTCTTTAGTTGTTAATTTCCTCATTCCAGGATCCACGCATTCAACATTCATGATAATAGCAGTATTTTCCAAACTTTTGACATATGTGTACCCGTACCCCTTCTATAATTTTCGTAACGCTGAGTACCCCTCGTACTCATGAGAACGTAGAATTAGGCGCAGCTAAGCACGGTGCAATGCATATCCCCAAACTCCGGTGCAATGCGTACCCCCACCAAACTCTTCCCGTACCTCTTGGGGGTATGCGTACCACACTTTGGGAAACACTGATATAGAGTAACACTCTCCTCCTCAGGGAATCTGATTTTTTGTACCTTTTTGTTAAAAACGGATTTTTTTTCTACTTCAGAGAGGAAGGAAAAGGGAGAGGGAGATAGAATCATCAAAGGGCTGCCTCTTGCACGCCTCCCACTGGGGGTAATGCCTGAAACCCAGGCATGTGCCCTTGAACAGAAGCAAACTGGGACCCTTCAGTCCACAGGCCAACACTCTTAGCCACTGAGCCAAAATGGCTAGGGCAGGAATCTGATTTTTTAGATTCCCCAACTGCTTGTTAGGATAAAGCTAACTTGAGAGGAATTAGGCAAGGAGGGGAAAACACAGGCTTTAGGGTCAGGCCTTGAAACCCAGTAAGGGTTCCATTCCTCGCACAACCTTGGTTAACTTACTGAGCTTTTGCTGGCTCATAGGAAAATTGTTGAGAATTTAACTGGAAAAGTCTGACACATACCAAGCAGGCTTAAATGACAACTCTCATGTTAATTTGTTAGCAGTGAAGTAGACAAAGGTAGAAGCTGAGGTACAGAAGTCTAGGTGTGAGGTGTTCTCTCTTTTCCGCATTCAGCACAGAAAAGGAATGGTCCGGTGGAGGAGCTGGGGAGAAAGGAAGGAAGGAAGGAAGGAAGGAAGGAAGGAAGGAGGGAAGGAAGGAAGGGAGGGAGGGAGGGAGGAGGGAGGGAGGGGGGAGGGAGGGAGGGGGGAGGGAGGGAGGGAGGAGGAGGGGAGAGAGAGAGAGAGAGAGAGAGAGAGAGAGAGAGAGAGAGAGAGAAAGAAAGAAAGAAAGAAAGAAAGAAAGAAAGAAAGAAAGAAAGAAAGAAAGAAAGAAAAAATGCAGAAATAGAACCAAGCTGGATGCCATCCTCTCTGATGGAGAGGCAAGGACTCTGAGCCCAAGCAGTGCATTTATTTTATACCCCCAAATACCTTGAAGTATCACCAAAACTTAGGATCAAAGGAGCTTATTTGCATTCTTGAGTAAGCCCTAGCATTGCTGGTGCTAGAGTGGATTTACATATCAAAGTTACAAATCCTCAACACCTGGACAAAGGTAAAAGCCAGTACTGGTAATATTTTCCTCCTTCTTGCGGAATGTGTATCCAAGATGGGGCTCTGCCAGTCAGCTCAGACTCAGCTGACAACAACTAAAGAAATGCCCATGTGCCTTCCCAGGTGCTGTCTATATCTAGGGACACAGAGAAAAGTTGTATCAGATCTGATCAAATATAATATCTCACCAGATAACATTTCTTTAAATATAATTAAGGAATGTTTATAATCTTTTAAAAAATATGGTGGAATACATAGTATATAAAATATACAATCTTGGGGGGGAGGGCATGTATGGCAGTGGGGGGGGGGCAATGGAAAGATATTACACATATAATATCCTAATAAAAAATATACAATCTTCACCATTTTTAACTGTACAGTTCTGTTCAGTACATTCATATTGTGAAATCAGTCTCTGGTGATCTCATTTTGTAGCACTGAAACTATTCCCGTTAAGCAACTATTCCTGATTTCCTCCTCCTCCTAATCCTTAGCAACCATCTTTTGACTTTCTGTCTCTATGAATTTGATTACTCTAGATACCCTCTTTAGGTGGAAACATGTTCTTTTGTAACTGGCTTCTTTGACTACAATATAGTCATAAAGTTCATCTATTTATCAGAATTTAATTCCTTTTTATAGCTGAGTAATATTTCACTGTATGTATATGCCACATTTTATTTACCGATACTTGGGTTGCTTCCACCTTTTGGTATTGTGAAGGACACTATAAGCATGAGTGTACATAAATCTCTACAGGACCCTGCCTTCAGTTCTGTTGGATACATACCCAGAAGTGGAAGAACTGGATCATATGGTAATTCTATTTTTACATTTGAGGAACTAGCATACTTTTTTTTTTCATAGCAGCTGCAGAATTTTACGTTCCCATCAACAGTGTACAAGAGTTCAAATTTCTTTTTTTTTCTTTCTTTTTTTTTTAAAATATATTTTATTGATTTTGTACAGAGAGGAAGGGAGAGAGATAGTCAGAAACATCGATGAGAGAAAGTCATCCATCAGCTGCCTCTTGCACACCCCCTACTGGGGATATGCCCACAACCAAGGAACATGCCCTTGACCGGAATCGAACCCGGGACCTTCCAGTCCCCAAGCCGAGGCTCTATCCATTGAGCCAAACCGGTTTCGGCAAGAGTTCCAATTTCTTCCCATCCTTGCCTACAGTTGTTGTTTTGCGTTGGATTTCCCCCCCCCCCCAAAAAATAGAAGCCATCCTAATAGATGTCAGGTGAAATCTCATTGTGGTTTTGATTTGCATTTCTCTAATGATTAGTGACATTGCACAACTTTTCAAATGTTTATTGGTCATTTGTACATCTTCTCTAGACTTCATTAGCAAGTCCTTTCCCCCTCTTTTTAAATCAGGTTATATGTGTGGGGTGTTTTTTTTTGTTGTTGAGCTGAAGGATTAGCTCCTTGTTAAATATATGATTTGCAAATATTTTCTCCTGTAAGTTGCCTTTTCACTCTAATTGTTCACTGATGCACAGAAGTTTTTATTTTTGATGGAATTCAATTTAACTCTTTTTGTCTTCTGTTGCCTATGCTTTTGTTCTTCTGTCCAAGAAGTTATTGCCTAATACAATGTCATAAAGCTCTTGCCCTGTGTTTTCTTTTTTTTTTTTCTTTTTTTTTTTTTTTAAATATATTTTATTGATTTTTTTTTTACAGAGAGGAAGAGAGAGGGATCGAGAGTCAGAAACATCAGTGAGAGAGAAACATCGACCAGCTGCCTCCTGCACACACCCCCACCGGGGATGTGCCTGTAACCAAGGCACATGCCCTTGACCGGAATCGAACCTGGGACCTTTCAGTCCGCAGGCCGACGCTCTACCCACTGAGCCAAACCGGTTTCGGCTGCCCTGTGTTTTCTTGAGTTTTCATTGTTTTAACTCTTTGTGATTAGGTCTTTGATTCATTTTGAGTTAAATTTTATAGATAGAGTAAAATAAGGGTCAAATGTTTTTGGTTTTTGTTTTGTTTTGTTGTTGTTTTTTTGCATGTGAATATCCAGGTGTGTCCCAGCATCATATTTGGAAATGCTATTCTTTGAATTGTCATTTATTCCATTGAATTGCTTGATACCATTGTCAAAAATCTGGACTTTACTCTGGAGGGTGAGGGCATGTATGGGAGTGGAGCAGCGGGGGCAATGGTAAGATATGTATACATATAATACCTTTTGTTAAAAATATATATTTTATTGATTTTTTACACAGAGAAGAAGGGAGAGGGATAGAGAGTTAGAAACATCGATCAGGCGCCTCCTACACACCTCCCACTGGGGATGTGCCCGCAAACAAGGTACATGCCCTTGACCAGAATCGAACCCGGGGCCCTTGAGTCCGCAGGCCAACGCTCTATCCACTGAGCCAAACTGGTTTTGGATACATATAATACCTTAATAAAAAAAAAAAAATCTGGACTCTAAGTTCTATTTCATGGATGTGTACATCTATCCTCATGCTACTACCACTGATTATTGTAGTTTTGTAATAAGTTTTGAAATTGGAAAGTGTGAGTCCTCCAATTTGGTGTTTTCTTAAGATTGTTTGAGCTATCATGGGTCTCTGGCATGTCCATATAGATTTTAGGCTCATATTGTCTATTTCTCAAAAAAAGTCAGCTGGAATTTTGGTAAGGATTGATTTGAATCTAAAGAGCAACTTGGGGAGAATTGCCTTTTAACAAACATGTCTTCTGATTAATGAATATGGAATGTCTTTGCATTTATTAGCTTTTTAATTTCTTTCAACAACGTTGTGTAGTTTTCAGTGTACAAGTTTTTTAGCTTCTTAAATGTATTGCAATGTGTTTTGTTCTTTTTTATACTATTGTGAATGGAATTCTAATATTAAATCCATTGTTGTATTATTTATTGATAGTGTACAGAAATACTCATCTGAGGATATTTTTCCCATTGATTTTAGAGAGAGTGGTGGAATGGAGGGAGAGAAAAAGGGAGGGAGGGAGGGAGAGAGAGAGAGAGAGACATCGATGTGAAAGAGAAACATTGATCAAATGCCTCCTGGAGGAGCCTCTGACCTTTTGGTGCATAGGATGGTGCTCAACCAAGTAAAGCCACACTGGCTAGGGCCATAACTAAGCAATTTTTTAATAACCTTTAAAAATTGTGGTAAAATACACATTATGTAAGATGTACCATCCTAACCATTTTTAAGTGTATTGTTAAGTACATTCACATGGTTGTACAACCAGTCTCTGGAACTACTTCACCTGTAACACTGGAACTGCATTCCCACTAAGCAACTACCCATTGCCTCCTGCCAGTCCTTGGCAACCACCATTTGGCTTTCTGTCTGTATGAACTTGACTACTTTAGATATCTTCTATAAGTGACATCATACAGTATTTGCCATTTTGTGAGTGGCTTCTTTAACTTAGCATCATAACCTCAAAGTTTATTCATGTGTTAGAATTTCATTCCTTTTTGTAGCCAAATAGTATTTAATTGTATGTATACAATGTATTTTATTTATCCACTTATTCCTAAATGTGCACTTGGGTTGCTTCCATCTCTTAGAACTGTGAAGAA